CAGTCTAAAATCGCCTCTTTCAGACTGCAGACAGCACAACTACAGTCCGAGCTGGTTGGAAATGGCTCGACTGCTCATGAGGAGAGCCGGTTGCTTGGGCTTTGAAAAACAACTCTTCTTGATGCAGTCAGAGGATCTGGACCACACAGGATTAACTTCCTTCTACAGCTCTGTACTGCAGGCCTGGCAGATTTTAAAGACTGAACGGGAAACCAATGAGACTCCACCTATGTGGGTATTTGAGGAGCCTTTGGATTCAAACATGTTCTTAAAAGCTCCAACCCTTCAGTCTGCCAGCTTGCAGGTCAGACTCAGAGAGGGAGGATGCACCAAACTGGGCCATCTAATGACGCTGACCACTTCATCTGTAGACGTCCTGAGGGGGAGAGGAACAATCACCTCCATCAGACTGATTAACAGGGTGGTGGAAGAAGTCTGCGCTGCTCTTGCACAACATCTGAGAGCATTTGTGAGGGACCAAACTCTGTGTGAACAGTGGAGTGAGGGCAGCGAGTACAGCTTCCCATCTCTGTCTGTTTCCCCAGCTGTGGGGGAGTGGCAGGAAGGAGCGGGTAAGCTGCTGTCTCTTACAACACCACATTTGGGCAAGTTTCAGGATGTAGGTAAGACGGAACTCTATCAAACCTGTTTCAAAGTCCTTAATCTTCGGTCACTGTCGGGGGTCGGGGAGTCAAGGTGGACTGAGTTCTTTGGCCCGGACTCCTTCCCGAAAGGCAGCTGGCGGTCCCTGTACAAGCTGCCCATTGAAAAGCGGACAGCAGACCTCCAGTGGAGGATCGTACATGGGGCAATAGCTACGAACAGATACAGAGCGCACATTGATCCTGAGGTTAGGGATGAGTGTTTGTTTTGTTTTCAGACTGAAACCCTCACATTTGTTTGTTAAGCGTCACAGGTTGGCATCTTTGTTTGTTTTACTAAAAAGGTTGTTTCAGGGTCTTGGGGAGATTTTTTCATTTGTTCTGTTTATTTTTGGCCCAAAGTATTCGGCAAAAAGAAAATCTGTTTGGACATTGCTGAACTTTTTGTCTGGCTCTGCCAAGTTGGCTATTTGGCTGACGCGCAGAAACAGGGCCCAGGATTCTGGGAGTGTGGACACGGTGCTGGTTCTGAAGGGTCTATTGAAGGCTCGACTCAGGGTGAAATATACCTTCTATAAAGTAACGGACGATATGGAAGATTTCAACCGTGTGTGGGCTCTAGTGGGGGTTTGTGTTCTGTGGGAGGGTATGGAGAGCTGATTGTTAATTTGTGCTCTGCAGAAAGTTTCATGTGGTTGTTGTTTTGTTGGTTTTTTGTTTGTTCCCGTCTTTTTGCTCTGATAGGACAGTGATGCAGGTTGTCTCCTTGAAGTGGTTTAATAAAGGGACTTTGAAAACCAAACCTCCTCTCTCCTCTCCTTGTCTCCTCGTCTCCTTTCCTACCTTTGGGTCCTTTCATCAGTTTGATTTGTGTGATGCGTTCGCTCGGTGGGCGTCGCCGCAGGACATATAGCCTGACGACAGGCCCCGCCTCCTTCAGTGCCTCCACGGCGATGGAGTGAGTGACCTCACGGACATCCACGTCGTTAACGAATACGATGCTGTCGTTCACCCTGGTGACGGAGAGAGAGAGAGAGAGAGAGAGAGAGAGAGAGAGAGAGAGAAGCATCAATAAATCAATAAATGTGCATGTGTGTGTGTGTGTGTGCGTGTATTACAGTGTGTATATGTGTGCGTGAGTGTGTATGAGTGTGCGTGCGTGCGTGCGTTTGTGTGTGTGAGCGTGTGTGTGTGTGCGTGCGTGCTTGTAAGTGTGCGTGCATGTGTGTGTGTGTGTACGTGTGTGAGCGTGTGTACGTGCGTGTGTGTGTGTGTACCTGAGGCGTCCGTCCTGGGATGCGGCTCCTCCTGGGATGATCTTGGTAATAAAGATGGACGGGTCGTCTCCGATGTGAGGATTATCAGTTCCTCCTGCGATGCTGAAGCCCAGACCAGAGTTACCCTGAACAGAGAACATGTTCTGTGAGTAGAGAACCCTCCCAACTGTTTCAGGTACCACCAAGCCTTGTGAAAAGGGTTCTTCAGAAAAGATTCTAGTGTGTCGAGTCAAAACGTCTCTAATAATGTTTCATATGGGATTGTAGAACCTTTCTAACAAAGTTCTGATGTTAACAGAATCATGCTAAATCACTTCTAACAGGGTTCATCGAAGCAGCATAAAGGTACTGAAATATGTGAACGTTTTTGGAGAACCCTTTAAATGGGTTCCTTAAGGCAACATAACCAGTTTAAGGGTCTGTAAAATGTTAAACCTGGATTACATGAGGCACCTTAAAGGTTCTACAGCCTGTTTGCAAAATCAAAGATCAAACCTCATGAAAAGGGTTCTTCAAAAAGGTTCCAGTGTGTAGTCAGTGAAGAACCTTTACAAAGAACATTTGCTTTTATACAGGTTCTTAAGTCTGTAGAAGAACTTCTCTGACAGAGTTTTCCAGTTCTGATGTTCCAATATCCAATATCAAAAATCAAGCCTTGTGAAAAGGGTTTTTCAGATAAGGTTCTAGTGTGTAGAGTCAGTGAAGAACCGCTGTAGTAATGAATTGAAGAACCTTGTTGACAGAGTTCTCCAGTTATGATGTTAATAGAACCAAGGTTACAGGACAGAACCCTTGTCCAAATAAAGACATTATGTTCTTCTTACATAACATGTTCTCTTATTGTTCTACTGTTCTTGAATTACAGCACCGTTTCACCCTCAAATGTGGAACTCAACAGCCCTCGTCATGAGAGGTCAAAGGTTGTGAACCGTCACAGTGATGACGCTGCTGGTTCTGAGGTCTGATTCACTGACTCACGGTTCTCCACTGACATTTGTTTTCAGATCTGAAGCTTCAGCTTCGTTTCATCTGTAAAATGTTTCCTGAAATAAAAAGCGGCGAGTTAAAAATAACCCGCTGATGTCAGCAGGGCAGAGCTTATTTAGGAGGCTGGAGGCAGCTTTAAACACAGAGCGACAGTTTCTAAAAACAGCAGAGAGGAGCTATTTCTGGACCCCAGTGTGTGTGTGTGTGTGTGTTACAGTGTGTGTGTGTGTGTGTGTGTGTGTGTGTTATTGTGTGTGTGTGTGTGTGTGTGTGTGCGTGTGACAGTGTGTGTGTGTGTGTTACTGTGTGTGTGTGTGTGTGTTACAGTGTGTGTGTGTGTGTGTTACAGTGTGTGTGCGTGTGTGTGTGTGTGTGTTATAGTGTGTGTGTGTATGTGTGTGAGCGCGTGTCACTATGGCAACATGATGGTTACCACAGTGACACAGTGCGGTGGCCCTGAGAGCTCAACACACAAACCTCTCCAATCAATTATGTTTATCCACTGATTACTATCAGCTCACCTGTTCCCTGATCAGCTGATTGTGTGTGTGTGTGTGTGTGTGTGTGTGTGTGTGTGTGTGTGTGTGTGTTATAGAGTGTGTGTGTTATAGAGTGTGTGTGTGTGCGTGTGAGTGTGTGTGTGTGTGTGTGTTATATGTGTGTGTGTGCGCGTGTGAGTGTGTGTGTGTGTTATAGTGTGTGTGTGTGTGTGTGTGTTCTCACCCTCTCCAGTGTGATCTCTTCATACTCCAGCTCTCCTTCTGATCCGTTCATCTGTAAAGACACACAAAGGGTTAAATCACATCCAACATCCCTCTCTCTGCTGACTGCTCGTCGCCACGGCAACTCCATGGTAACAGCTGTTGAGCCCACAGGGGGCCAGTTACCTTGGCAACTGTAACTGTAGCTATAGCGACCCCCTCTCTCTCCTATCATCTCATCCACACATTTACAGAGCTCTGAAGCGTGGTCATTACATCACTTCCTGCTGAGACAACGAGTCGCGTTGTTGAAACTGATCGACCATAAATAACAGGAAACATTTGTTCAGATGTGATCGCTACAGAAACACGGATAAATTGAAGACACAGGCGCTGAAACTGTCACTACAGGAAGTGCTTTTACTGTGATACTGTGACAACAGGAAGTATTTTACTGTGAAACTAACTACAGGAAGTACTTTTACTGTGAAACTGTCACTACAGGAAGTGTTTTTACTGTTAAACTAACTACAGGAAGTACTTTTGCTGTGATACTGTGACGACAGGAAGTATTTTACTGTGAAACTAACTACAGGAAGTACTTTTACTGTGAAACTGTGATGACAGGAAGTATTTTACTGTGAAACTAACTACAGGAAGTACTTTTACTGTGAAACTGTCAAAACAGGAATTGATTTGATGTTAATAACACACATGATGACATGGTGATGTCAGTTCATCAGAAGCTTCATTCATAAGATGTGATGTGGTTTAATCTGGAGGAGTCTCTGTCTCTCTGCCTGTCTCTCTCTCTATGTCCCTCTGCCTGTCTGTCTGTCTGTCTGTCTCTCTCTCTGCCTGTCTATCTCTCTCTCTCTGCCTATCTGTCTGTCTCTCTCTTTGTCTGTCTGCCTGTCCATCTCTCTGTCTTTCTGTCTCTGCCTGTCTGTCTGTCTCTCTCTCTGCCTGTTTCTCCGTCTGTTTCTCTGTCTGTCTCTCTGCCTGTCTGTCTCACCGTGGCCAGCAGCTGTCATCACTACAACAGTTCACTTCACTGTGTTTGTCTCTGGAGAATCTGGAGGAGAGAGCAAGCTTCAATAGAATTATATAACAGAGAGAGAGAGGGCGAGAGAGGTAGACTGACAGCAGGAGAGAAAGAGAGCGAGTGAGAGTGTTACAGTTCGTTCTGAATTAATTAAACCTATTCCTCATTTCCCCTGACAGCTCTCTCTCTCTCTCTCTCTCTCTGAGCCACTCTAAGTCAATGTCTCTCGACCAGACAGAGAGTGAGATGATAGAGTGTTGTGCTGTTAGGGAGGTCAGAAACATCACAGCATGAAAACCACCATCCAGACCACCACCCAGACCACCACCCAGACCACCATCCAGACCCCAACCCAGATCACCACCCAGACCACCACCCAGACCACCATCCAGACCCCAACCCAGACCACCATCCAGACCACCACCCAGACCACCATCCAGACCCCAACCCAGATCACCACCCAGACCACCACCCAGACCACCATCCAGACCCCAACCCAGACCACCACCCAGACCCCAACCCAGACCACCATCCAGACCACCACCCAGACCCCAACCCAGACCACCATCCAGACCACCACCCAGACCACCATCCATACCACCATCCAGACCCCAACCCAGACCACAATCCAGACCTCAACCCAGACCACCACCCAGACCCCAACCCAGACCACCACCCAGACCACCACCCAGACCCCAACCCAGACCACCATCCAGACCCCAACCCGGACCACCATCCAGACCTCTACCCAGACCCCAACCCAGACCACCATCCAGACCTCAACCCAGACCACCACCCAGACCCCAACCCAGACCACCACCCAGACCACCATCCAGACCTCTACCTAGACCCCAACCCAGACCACCATCCAGACCTCAACCCAGACCACCATCCAGACCACCATCCAGACCCCAACCCACACCACCATCCAGACCCCAACCCAGACCACCACCCAGACCCCAATCCAGACCACCATCCAGACCCCAACCCAGACCACCATCCAGACCCCAACCCAGACCACCATCCAGACCACCATCCAGACCTCAACCCAGACCACCACCCAGACCCCAACCCAGACCACCATCCAGACCACCACCCAGACCACCATCCAGACCACCATCCAGACCTACCAATTTCAGGTAGGATGATGCTAACCATCTCATGCTAACATTTTCAGGTAGAATGATGCTAACTATCTCATGATAACCATCTCAGGTATGATGATGCTGAGCATCTCAGGTAGGATGATGCTAACCATCTAATGCTTACAATTTCAGGTAGGATGACGCTAACCATCACATGCTAACAATTTCATGTAGAATGATGCTAACTATCTCATGATAACAATCTCAGGTAGGATGATGCTAACCATCTCAAGGATGATGATGCTAACAATCTCAGGTAGGGCAATGCTAACCATCTCAGGTATGATGATACTAACCATCTCATGCTAACAATCTCAGGTAGGGCAATGCTAACCATCTCATGCTAACCATCTCAGGTAGGATGATGCTAACCATCAAATGTCAACAATCTCAGGTAAGATGATGCTAACCATCTCATGCTAACAATCTCAGGTAAGATGATGTTAGCCATCTAATGCCAACAATCTCAGGTAAGATGATGCTAGCCATCTTGTGCTAACAATCACAGGCAGGATGATGCTAACCATCAATGATACGTTCCCTGTGTTTAACAGTAATCTCGCCCCCTGGTGGGATGTGAAGGGGGGGGGGGGGGGGTGGGGGGGGGGGGGGGGGGGTCGCTGAAACTCTCTCCTTGTAACAACATGACTGCCCCCCCTCCCCCAGCTGATGAGGGCTGCTCCTACCATCATCCTCTGCCGGTGCCTTTTCGCTCTCCTCACGTTGTTGATGAATCGTCTTCCCATCTTCTTGGCGTACCACACCGACACAAACATCCCTCCTCGTCTCCTCCGTGTGCTCTGTCCCCTCTGTCTCTGTCTCTGTCCCTGCTGTGTCTCCACGAGCTCGGCTGTTACATAAACTCAGCGGATGAATAATTAACGAGCGAGCGCGGGAGAAGACGGAGCGCGCGGCAGAGAGGTCGTTGAGCAGGAGCTCGTTCACCTAACGGACATGACTGACGGGCCGGCTCATCACCCTGCCACCCCCGGTCACCAGAGAGGGGGGGGACACGACGACCAGGTCCTCTGAATGAAGAGACACGAATGGAAAGAAGAGAGAGAGGCTGTTTATCACCCTCTCTCTATCATCTCTCCTTCCTCCTCCACTCCTCTCTCTCTTAGCTCGACCCTCCTAACGCCCCACTGCACATCACCCTCTCTCTCTCTCCGGCTCTCTCTCTCTCTCTCCGGCTCTCTCTGTCTCTCTCTCTCTCTCTCCCGCTTTCTCTGTCTTTCTCTACCTCTCTCTCTCTCTCTCTCTTGCTCTCTCTCTTTCTCTCCGGCTCTCTCTGTCTCTCTATACCTCTCTCTCTCTCTCTTGCTCTCTCTCGCTCTCTCTCTCTCCCGTTCTCTCTGTCTCTCTATACCTCTCTCTCTCTCTCTCTTGCTCTCTCTCGCTCTCTCTCTCTCCCGCTCTCTCTGTCTCTCTCTACCTCTCTCTCTCTGTCTCTCTATACCTCTCTCTCTGTCTCTCTCTCTATCTCTCTCTCTCTGTCTCTCTATACCTCTCTCTCTCTCTCTTGCTCTCTCTCGCTCTCTCTCTCTCCCGCTCTCTGTCTCTCTCTACCTCTCTCTCTCTGTCTCTCTCTCTATCTCTCTCTCTCTGTCTCTCTATACCTCTCTCTCCCGCTCTCTCTGTCTTTCTCTACCTCTCGCTCTCTCTCGCTGTCTCTCTCTCCCTCTCTCTTTCGCTGTCTCTCTCTCTCTCTCTGTCTCTCTCTACCTCTCTCTCTCACTGTCTCTCTCTCTCTCTACCTCTCTCTCTCGCTGTCTCTCTCTACCTCTCTCTCTCTCGCTCTCTCTCTCTCTCTGTCTCTCTCTCTCGCTGTCTCTCTCTCTGTCTCTCTCTCTCTACCTCTCTCTCTGTCTCTCTCTACCTCTCCCGCTCTCGCTGTCTCTCTCTCTCTCTCTCTGTTTCTCTCTCTACCTCTCTTTGTCTCTCTCTCTACCTCTCTCATTCTCTGAAGGAATCCCCTCCCCTGTGTGATGTCACTTGGCCGCTGGCGGAGGGAGAGAGAATTCTGACAAAAAGAATGATTTCAGCACACGCACACACAAACATTCTGCTAATATTGTTGCCATGGCAACACCCCCTCCCACTTCAGTACTCCCCCTCCCTAGAATTCTCCGCGTTGCCATGGTGATGACCGCGCAAAAAAAAGTAGAGGGATGTATCACATTCAGAGTGGGCACAGACAGCCCACGCCTGAGTGTGTGTGTGTATGAGTGTGAGTGAGTGTGTGTGAGTGAGAGTGTGAGTGTGTGAGTGAGTGTGTGTGTGAGTGTGAGAGAGTGTGTGTGAGTGAGTGTGTGTGTGAGTGTGAGAGAGTGTGTGTGAGTGAGTGAGTGTGTGAGTGTGAGAGAGTGTGTGTGAGTGAGTGTGTGTGTGAGTGAGTGAGTGTGTGTGTCAGTGTGAGAGAGTGTGTGTGAGAGTGTGTGTGAGTGTGAGAGTATGTGTGTAAGTGCTTGTGTGAGAGTGTGAGTGTGTGTGAGTGTGTGTGTGGGAGTGTGAGAGTGTGTGTGAGTGTGAGAGTATGTGTGTAAGTGCTTGTGTGAGTGTGTGTGAGTGTGTGTGTGAGTGCATGTGTGGGAGTGTGAGAGTGTGTGTGAGTGTGTGTGTGAGAGTGTGAGAGAGTGTGTGTGAGAGAGTGAGAGTATGTGTGTGAGTGCTTGTGTGAGGGTGTGAGTGTGAGAGTGTGTGTGAGTGTGAGAGTGTGTGTGAGTGTGAGAGTGTGTGTGAGTGTGAGAGTGTGTGTGAGTGAGTGTGTGTGTGAGTGAGTGAGTGAGTGTGTGTGTCAGTGTGAGAGAGTGTGTGTGAGTGAAAGTGTGTGTCTGAGTGTGTGTGTGAGTGTGTGTGTGTGTGTGTGAGTGAGTGAGTGTGTGAGAGTGTATGTGAGTGTGAGTGTGTGTGTGTGTGTGAGTGAGTGTGTGTCTCTGCCTGTAGGACGGATCTCTGTGTGAATATTAATGAGATATTCAGCTGACCTCAGACCAGCTAAATGCGACATCTATGACATCACAGGTTACCTGATCCCACACTGATCAATGACCCAAGAACCTCCTCCAGCACCTGAAACTCCTCCAGGACCTGAACCTCCTCGAGCACCTGAACCTCCTCCAGGACCTGAACCTCCTGAAGACCTCTGGACTTTTACAGACCTCAGTCAGCCCTGCTGTGTGTGTGTGTGTGTGTGTGTGTGTGTGTGTGCGTGTGTGTGTATGTTTGTGTACATACAGTGAGTGCAGCAGGATGTGTGTATCCGTCCAGGTGGGCGTGGCTCAGCTCGGTGCTGCGTCCGTGGGTCATGTGACCAGGGCTGGGGTCGACGGGTGGAGTCTCATCGTCTTGGTAACGATACTTCTGTAAAGAGACACAGATGGTGTTAGCATTAGCTGTTAGCATGTATTCACTGTCCACCGCTACAACACCTGGACAAACGTTAGTGGACACCTGCTTCTACAGCCAAGTTAACTAAGTCCTTCATGTTAACTTCGTTAACTAAGTCCCTCATGTAAAGTCAATGGGATGTTAAGGTTAAGAGGTAAGACAGACCCACTCCTCCTCCAGACCAGAGAGTTTAATGGAGGCAGTGATGGAGTGATTGAGTGATGGAGTGATGGAGTGATGGAGTGAAGGACTGATGGAGGGAAGGAGTGAAAGAGTGATGGAGTGAGGAGTGGAGGACTGATGGAAGGAAGGTGTGATGAAGTGAAGGAGTGATGGAGTGAAGGAGTGAAAGTGAAGGAGTGATGGAGTGAAGGACTGATGGAGGGAAGGAGTGAAAGAGTGATGGAATGAAGGAGTGATGGAGGGAAGGAGTGAAAGAGTGAAGGAGTGATAGAGTGAAGGAGTGATGGAGTGATGGAGTGAAAGAGTGATGGAGTGAGGAGTGAAGGACTGATGGAAGGAAGGTGTGATGGAGTGAAGGAGTGATGGAGTGAAGGACTGATGGAGTGATTGAGTGATTGAGTGAAGGAGTGATGGAGGGAAGGAGTGAAAGAGTGAAGGACTAATAGAGTGAAGGAGTGATGAGTGAAGGACTGATGGAGTGATGAAGGGAAGGAGTGAAGGACTGATGGAGGGAAGGAGTGAAAGAGTGAAGGAGTGAAAGAATGATGGAGGGAAGGAGTGAAAGAGTGATGGAGTGAAAGTGTGATGAGTGAAGGAGTGATGGAGTGAAGGACTGATGGAGGATAGGAATGAAAGAGTGATGGAGTGAAAGAGTGACGGAGTGATGGAGTGAAGGAGTGAAAGAGTGAAGGACTGATGGAGGGAAGGAGTGGTGGAGTGATGGAGTGAAAGAGTGATGGAGTGAAGGAGTGAAAAAGTGAAGGACTGATGGAGGGAAGGAGTGGTGGAGTGATGGAGCGAAGGAGTGAAAGAGTGAAGGACTGATGGAGGGAAGGAGTGGTGGAGTGATGGAGTGAAAGAGTGATAGAGTGATGGAGGGAAGGAGTGATGGAGTGAAAGAGTGATGGAGTGAAAGTGTGATGTAGTGAAGGAGTGATGGAGTGAAGGCGTGAAAGAGTGAAGGACTGATGGAGGGAAGGAGTGGTGGAGTGAGGAGTGATTGAGTGATGGAGGGAAGGAGTGAAAGAGTGAAGGACTGATGGAGGGAAGGAGTGGTGGAGTGATGGAGTGAAGGAGTGGTGGAGTGATGAGGTGAAGGAGTGATGTAGTGAGGAGTGATTGAGTGATGGATTGAGGAGTGATTGAGTGATGGAGGGAACTAGTGAAAGAGTGAAGGACTGATGGAGGGAAGGAGTGGTGGAGTGATGGAGTGAAGGAGTGATGTAGTGAGGAGTGATTGAGTTATGGATTGAGGAGTGATTGAGTGATGGAGGGAAGGAGTGATGGAGTGAAGGAGTGATGGATGAAGGACTGATGAGTGAAGGACTGATGGAGTGATGGAATGATGGAGTGAAGGAATGATGGAGTGAAGGAGTGATGGAGTGATTGAGTGATGGATTGAGGAGTGAGGAGTGAAGGAGTGAGGAGTGATGGAGCGAAGGAGTGAGGAGTGATCGAGTGAGGAGTGAAGGAGTGATGGAGTGATGGAGTGAGGAGTGAAGGAGTGAGGAGTGATGGAGCGAAGGAGTGAGGAGTGATCGAGTGAGGAGTGAAGGAGTGATGGAGTGATGGAGTGAGGAGTGAAGGAGTGAGGAGTGATGGAGCGAAGGAGTGAGGAGTGATCGAGTGAGGAGTGAAGGAGTGATGGAGTGATGGAGTGAGGAGTGAAGGAGTGAGGAGTGATGGAGCGAAGGAGTGAGGAGTGATCGAGTGAGGAGTGAAGGAGTGATGGAGTGATGGAGTGAGGAGTGAAGGAGTGAGGAGTGATGGAGCGAAGGAGTGAGGAGTGATCGAGTGAGGAGTGAAGGAGTGATGGAGTGATGGAGTGAGGAGTGAAGGAGTGAGGAGTGATGGAGCGAAGGAGTGAGGAGTGATCGAGTGAGGAGTGAAGGAGTGAAGGAGTGATGGAGGGAAGGAGGGAAGGAGTGAAAGAGGGAAAGAGTGAAGGACTGATAGAGAGAAGGAGTGATGAGTGAAGGACTGATGGAGTGATGGAGTGAGGAGTGAAGGAGTGAGGAGTGAGAAGTGAAGGAGTGAAGGAGTGATGAGTGAAGGACTGATGGAGTGATGGAGTGAAGGACTGATGGAATGATGGAGTGAAGGAGTGATGGAGGGAAGGAGTGAAAGAGTGAAAGAGTGAAGGACTGATAGAGTGAAGGAGTGATGAGTGAAGGACTGATGGAGAGAAGGAGTGATGGAGGGAAGGAGTGAAAGAGTGATGGACTGAAAGTGTGATGGAGTGAAGGAGTGATGAGTGAAGGACTGATGGAGTGATTGAGTGATGGAGTGAAGGACTGATGGAGGGAAAAAGTGAAAGAGTGATGGAGTGAAAGAGTGACGGAGTGATAGAGGGAAGGAGTGATGGAGTGAAGGAGTGATGGAGTGAAGGAGTGAAAGAGTGAAGAACTGATGGAGGGAAGGAGTGGTGGAGTGATGGAGTGAAAGAGTGACAGAGTGATGGAGTGAAGGAGTGATGGAGTGAGAAGTGAAGGAGTGAGGAGTGAAGTAGTGATGGAGTGAAGGAGTGATGAAGTGAGGAGTGATGGAGTGAGGAGTGATGGAGTGATGGATGAAGGAGTGATGGAGTGAAGGAGTGAGGAGTGAAGGAGGGAGGAGTGAGAAGTGAAGGAGTGGGGAGTGAAGTAGTGATGGAGAGAAGGAGTGAAGGAGTGAAAGAGGGAAGGACTGATGGAGGGAAGGAGTGAAAGAGTGAAGGCGTTAAAGAGTGAAGGAGTGATGGGGTGATGGAGGGAAGGAGTGAAAGAGTGAAGGCGTTAAAGAGTGAAGGAGTGATGGGGTGATGGAGGGAAGGAGTGAAAGAGTGAAGGCGTTAAAGAGTGAAGGAGTGATGGGGTGATGGAGGGAAGGAGTGAAAGAGTGAAGGCGTTAAAGAGTGAAGGAGTGATGGGGTGATGGAGGGAAGGAGTGAAAGAGTGAAGGCGTTAAAGAGTGAAGGAGTGATGGGGTGATGGAGGGAAGGAGTGAAAGAGTGAAGGCGTTAAAGAGTGAAGGAGTGATGGGGTGATGGAGGGAAGGAGTGAAAGAGTGAAGGCGTTAAAGAGTGAAGGAGTGATGGGGTGATGGAGGGAAGGAGTGAAAGAGTGAAGGCGTTAAAGAGTGAAGGAGTGATGGGGTGATGGAGGGAAGGAGTGAAAGAGTGAAGGCGTTAAAGAGTGAAGGAGTGATGGGGTGATGGAGGGAAGGAGTGAAAGAGTGAAGGCGTTAAAGAGTGAAGGAGTGATGGGGTGATGGAGGGAAGGAGTGAAAGAGTGAAGGCGTTAAAGAGTGAAGGAGTGATGGGGTGATGGAGGGAAGGAGTGAAAGAGTGAAGGCGTTAAAGAGTGAAGGAGTGATGGGGTGATGGAGGGAAGGAGTGAAAGAGTGAAGGCGTTAAAGAGTGAAGGAGTGATGGGGTGATGGAGGGAAGGAGTGAAAGAGTGAAGGCGTTAAAGAGTGAAGGAGTGATGGGGTGATGGAGGGAAGGAGTGAAAGAGTGAAGGCGTTAAAGAGTGAAGGAGTGATGGGGTGATGGAGGGAAGGAGTGAAAGAGTGAAGGCGTTAAAGAGTGAAGGAGTGATGGGGTGATGGAGGGAAGGAGTGAAAGAGTGAAGGCGTTAAAGAGTGAAGGAGTGATGGGGTGATGGAGGGAAGGAGTGAAAGAGTGAAGGCGTTAAAGAGTGAAGGAGTGATGGGGTGATGGAGGGAAGGAGTGAAAGAGTGAAGGCGTTAAAGAGTGAAGGAGTGATGGGGTGATGGAGGGAAGGAGTGAAAGAGTGAAGGCGTTAAAGAGTGAAGGAGTGATGGGGTGATGGAGGGAAGGAGTGAAAGAGTGAAGGCGTTAAAGAGTGAAGGAGTGATGGGGTGATGGAGGGAAGGAGTGAAAGAGTGAAGGCGTTAAAGAGTGAAGGAGTGATGGGGTGATGGAGGGAAGGAGTGAAAGAGTGAAGGCGTTAAAGAGTGAAGGAGTGATGGGGTGATGGAGGGAAGGAGTGAAAGAGTGAAGGCGTTAAAGAGTGAAGGAGTGATGGAGTGAAGGAGTGATGGAGTGAAGGACTGATGGAATGATTGAGTGATGGAGTGAAGGACTGATGGAGGATAGGAGTGAAAGAGTGATGGAGTGAAAGAGTGATGGAGTGATGGAGAGAAGGAGTGAAGGAGTGAAAGAGTGAAGGACTGATGGAGGGAAGGAGTGGTGGAGTGATGGAGTGAAAGAGTGATGGAGTGAAGGAGTGAAAGAGTGAAGGACTGATCGAGGGAAGGAGTGGTGGAGTGATGGAGTGAAGGAGTGAAAGAGTGAAGGCGTGAAAGAGTGAAGGAGTGATGGAGTGACGGAGTGAAGGAGTGAGGAGTGATGGAGTGAAGGAGTGATGGAGTGAGAAGTGAAGGAGTGAGGAGTGAAGTAGTGATAGAGTGAGGAGTGATGGAGTGAAGGAGTGATGGAGTGAGATTGTGATGGAGTGAAGGAGTGATGGAGTGAAGACGTGAAAGAGTGAAGGAGTGATGGAGTGAAGGAGTGAGGAGTGATGGAGTGAGGGAGTGAAGGAGTGAGGAGTGATGGAATGAAGGAGTGATGGAGTGAGAAGTGAAGGAGTGAGGAGTGAAGTAGTGAAGGAGTGATGGAGTGAGGAGTGATGGAGTGAGGAGTGAAGGAGTGAGGAGTGATGGAGTGAGGAGTGATGGAGTGAGGAGTGAAGGAGTGAGGAGTCATGGAGTGAGGAGTGATGGAGTGAGGAGTGAAGGAGTGAGGAGTGATGGAGTGATGGAGTGAGGAGTGATGGAGTGAGGAGTGA